GGGCTGGGCCTTGGGGCTGCCCTCGGCTCCATGCTGCAGGTACTGGTGAGGCTGCTGGTGATGGTGGTGGTGGTGGTGGTTGTGGCTGTGGTTGTAGAAATAATAATGGTGATGGTGATGCGACGACTGCTGCTGCTGCTGCTGCTGCTGTTGCTGCTGCTGCTGCTGCTGGGGGTGATGGTGCGGATGGTGGTGGCTGTGATGGTGCTGAGGCTGTGGCTGGCCGGGCTTCTCCTCCATTGAAAGCGGCTGGGACTCCCTGGCTGAGGCTGCAGGCTGCTGCACCGTCAGGATCTGAGACTGCTTCTCAGCGCTCGCTCAGTATATCTGAGCGCGTCTCGCCAGCGCACTGGTTAAGCGAGCGGATCTGGAAGATTGGCAGCAGCCCTCCAGCAATCAGGAGCCACGCTGCGCGTCAAGCCCCGCCCCTAGCCCAAATCCTCTTCCCTTCCCCTTCGCCGCCGCCGCCTGGCCAACGCCACTTACCCTATGCAACCTCACAGGGCCGGGCCTTCAACGTCAGCATTATGGCTCTCTCTTCTATCGCTTTCTCTCCTTCACCACGCAGTTAGCGAACAGCACTTTCTACACTCCTCACAGGCAAGCAAGCTGATTTCGAGTGTAGCAGATTCCACGGACGATTACTGGCGCTAGGAGCCATCTGTTGGTTTTGCACCTCCTAGAATCTGTTGGGGTGTGTGTGTGTGTGTGTGGTTTTGGATTCTTTTTTTTTAAATCCTTTTCCGGGTAACCAGAGCAGAGGGGGAAGCTCAATTTCCTTAACCCTTAGGCCACGAAAGGGGCAATACAAAAGAGGAAATAAATTCAATTTTAAGAATACAAAACCTTCACAACTCGATAGATCGTTTTTGTATTCTGGATTCATTTTGCTTTGTATTCATATGCTAATCTCTTCCTTTCCACGGAGGGATTATAGGGTTCCACAATGGGGTATCTGTGTAATTTTCTAAAAGGGCACAAAGGGCTTAAATCATTGTTTCTTTGTAGTTGAAGGCAAGAAAGAGGGATGGATGAAAAATATATACTGAAGGGTTTTTTTGTTTTGTATTGTTTTAATTAAACACTACAGGTAAGGTCAACTATGAAACCAAAATAGGTTTTAGATTAAGAATTTTAAGAGTGAAGGAAGGGAGAAAGTACACCTTTAAAAGTTCTTACGATTTTAATTTTTACATCTTTTTGTTTTGCATTTACAGAAAACATTGCAATTTAAAGATGTATTTGCATTCTATGCAGTTAATTCAACTCATAGTAGGAAGAGGGTTGTGATGACAGACACAGAATATCCTCAAAATATATTTTTGTGGGTCTTGGCAGGAGGGGTTGTTTGCTTGTTTTGGATTGGTTTGTTTTTGAAACAGTCTGTGTAACCCAGATTGACTTGGAACTCCAACTAAGAGATCCCCCTGCCTCTGCCTTCTGAGTGTTGGGATTAAAGTCCTACACCACCACACCAAGCCAATATGCTATTTCTTAAAACTACATTACAAGTACACTTGCTCAAATGAGATATATATTTCTCTATGTAGTATAAAGGAAATTTTAAATGTGCAATTTATCATCCTAACATGTTTTTTTGTTTTTGTTTTGTTTTGTTTTATTTTGAGACAGGGTCTTACTATGTATCCCTGACTGGCCTGGTATTATTCACTATGTAACCCAGGCTGGCTTCTACCTTACAAATACCTTCATTTCAGGCATGTACCATCATACCCAGCTCCTACTTAACCATTTTTAGTACATAGTTCAGGAGTATTAGGACATTCCCATTGTTGTGTAACCAAAAACAAGTGCATTTCTAGAACCTATTCATCTTGTAAAACTGAAACTCCATACCTATTAAATGATAAATCTCTTGAGGCTGGAGAGATGGCTCAGCTGTTAAGAGCTTACTCTGGTCTTACAAAGGACTAGAGTTCAAGTCTGAGCATTCTCATGGCCACTCATAGTCATCTATAACTCTAGTCCCTCTTCTAAACTCCGAAAGCACCAGGCACACACACGGCACACATACATACATTCAGGAAAGACTCATACATATAAAATGGATTTCCTTTTGTTTTTGAATCAGGGTTTCTCTATGTAACTGCCCTGGCTGTCCTGGAACTCACTCTATAGACCAGGCAGGCCTTGAACCCACAGGAATCCACTGGACCCTGCCTCTGGAACATGCTGGGATTAAAGGTGTTTGCCACTATCAGCAAAATGTATCGTTTTCAAAAAGAGATAAATGCCAGGCAGTGGTGATGCATGCCTTTGATCTCAACACTCTGGAGGCAGAGGCAGGTGGATCTCTGTGAGTTAGAGGCCAGCCTGGTCTACAGAGTGAGTTCCAGAACAGCCTCCAAAGCAATACAGAGAAACCCTGTCTTGAACCCCCCCAAAAAAAATTCTAAAATAGAATGCTTGTGAATCTCCCAGCTTGTGGATGCTGGGAACTAAACCTGGGTCTTCTGCAAGAGCAACATGTACTCTTACCCTCTGAGTCATCTCTCCATCCCTAATGTCTTGTTTTCATAATGTATTTTTGTTTGCTTGGTATTTGTTGTTGTTTTGATTTTTTTTTTTTGAGTCAGGGTCTCCTATAGCCTAGACTGTCCTCCAACACCCCCCCCCCTTTCTTTTTGTTTTTTGAGACATGGTATCTCCACGGAAAAGGAACAGCTTTTGCTGTTCTGGGACTAGCTCTGTAGACTAGGCTGGCATTGAACTCACAGAGATCTGCCTGCCTTCCAAGTGCTGGGACTAAAGGCATGTGCTACCACAACCCAGACTCCAACTCACTTTCTAATCAAGGATGACCTTGAACAATTGATCCTTCTGCCTCCTAAATGTTGGTATTTCAAGAATGTGCTACCATGCCTGCCCTTAGCATGTCTTTAAGATATGTTCATATTACATAGCATGAACAAAAATGTCTTTCCTTTTTATGACTGAATAATATTCCATGGTGAGTGAGTAAGTGTGTGCTTTGGGAAGGTATATGCAGCATTTTTTATGAGTTTGAAGCCAACCTGGTCTACAGATCAAGTTAAGACCAGCCAGGGCTGCATAGTAAGACTCTACCCCCCCCCCCCCCCCCCCCCCCCCCCCAACCACCACTCCTGTGGCAGAGGAAGAGGGCACCAGATCTCATTATAGATGGTTGTGAGCCACCATGTGGGTGCTGGGAATAGAACTCAGGACTTCTGGAAGAACAACTAGTGTTCTTAACCTCTGAGCCATCTCTCCAGCCCACCCCCAAAAATGATTTTTAATGACATGTATGTGTGTGTGTGCCTGTGAATGTAGTTCTGTCAGAGGGCATAAGAGTTGGACGCCCTCCCTCCCGCAACTGGAAACTAAAGTTACTGACAGTTGTGATTTGCCCTACTTGTTGCTAGGAGCCAAATCCAAATCCTCCACAGGAGCAGAAAATGCCCCTAACCACTGAGCCATCTCCCTAGCCCACAATTACTCAATTTTGAGAGCTGGAAACCCAGTAATAATATCACCTTGATTAGTTCCTACTATTTCCACATGCTTAAAATGTAAATAGAATTCAGCATTATGGAGTATGTCTGAGAGTGTGTGTGTGTGTGTGTGTGTGTGTGTGTGTGTGTTGACTTAGACATTAAGTTGGAAAGTGGAATACCCATTCCTGATTCTAACTTCTTTTTCTATATTTCCTACATTATACTTCCAGACAAAATAAAAATACTCAATGAATTTCTGGCTTATACTTTCACTTGTCTCAGTTTACTCATTCATATGCAGTTGTACTGACTTAAACAATCTAACTCAAACCCAGTGGTGGTGTTGCACGCCTTTAATCCCGAGCACTCGGAAGGCAGAGGCAGACGGACCTCTGTGAGTTCAAGACCAGCCTGGTCTACAAGAGCTAGTTCCAGGACAGTCTGCAAAGCCACAGAGAAACCCTGCCTCATAAAAACAAAAACAAAATAAATAAATGAATGAATAAATATAAACTGATAATAAATTATAAGGAAATTTGGTGGGCAGTGTGACACATGCCTTTAATTTCAACACTCTATAGACTAGCCTCAAACTAGGCTACAGATTCCACCTGCCTCAGCGTCCAAGTGCTGGGATTAAAGGCACCCAGCACTTAACTTTTATTTAAAATAAAAATTATTAAATGAGTTCCAGTTTGGAATTAGGACACGGTGTCTTCCTTCCTTCCTTCCTTCCTTCCTTCCTTCCTTCCTTCCTTCTTCTCTCCTTCCCTCCTGCCCATACTCCCCATCCTCTCTTGAGAAACATGTTTAATCGTAAAAACCTAGCAAGATCCCCTACATAGTAGGGAGACTGGTGACTGCACAGAGCCTCATATGCAGAAGAGGATGAGGAAGATGACCATCAAACAGAAGAGCCCCCATGGCCTCAGACAGGGCAAAGCCCAGAATGGCAAAGGAGAAGAGCTTGAGAGAGATGGGTTCCTGGCATAGACAATAATCAAGGTACCACAACATCCCTATGCCAGTCCCTGATCCAGCCACACCAAATGTCCTGGTCCCACCACTTGGCTGCTCTGTGTCAATATCCCAGGGAGAAAACACTGGTCGGGAATTCCCTTCTGGCCACTTGGAGTGGGGAGCTGCTACTGGAAGGCTTTTTAGTTGGGCCCCTACATACACAGGCCAGATTGGAGCCATGGTAGGGGAGGTGATCAGAACTAGAAAGGAGCCTGCATTGGTGCTGTGTGTATGTGTGTATTTTCCAATCAGCACTCCCACTTCCCTGCAGCTTCTGCTTGGCCCATAGGCTCTCCCTGCTCTAGGACAGAATTTCTATTTAAAAAATGTTTTGAAGGGGCTGGAGAGATGGCTCACTGGTTAAGAGCACTAGCTGCAGGCTGGGCGTTGGTGGAGCACACCTTTAATCCCAGCACTGGGGAGGCAGAGGCAGGTGGATCTCTGTGAGTTAGAGGCCAGCCTGATCTGCAGAACAAGTGCCAGGATAGGCTCCAAAGCTACACAGAGAAACTGTGTCTCGGGGAAAAAAAAAAAAAAAAAAAAAAAAACAAAAGCTGAACAAGTGACGCTCACACCTTTAATTGCAGCTCTTGGGAGGCAGAGGCAGGCAGATCTCTGTGAGTTCGAGGCCAGCCTAATCTACAGAACAAGTTCCAGAACAATCTCCAAAGCAATACAGAGAAACCCTTTCTCAAAAAGCCAAATAAAATTAAATAAATAAATAAGAAAATAAGTTTTGCTGGGCGGTGGTGGCTCATGCCTTTAGTCCCAGCACTCAGGAGGCAGAGACAAGCAGATCTCTGTGAGTTCGAGGCCAGCCTGGTCTTCAAAGAGAGTTT